TTTATTTATTTATTTATTTACCTGGAAGTGTTTAATCCACCTCCTTTAAAAATGATGTTTTTGGGCTGGCTGTTTAGCTCAGTTGGTTAGAGTGTGATGTTATAACACCAAGGTCAAGGGTTTGGATCCCCATATTGGCCAGCTTCCTATCCCCCCACCCCCAAAGCTGATGTGTCTGGGTACTGGGTACAATACTAGTGACCTCTGACTTGATAGACAGGTGTTCTGTTTCAAATGTGAAATCACTCCAGCCATATTGCTCTGGTAAATGCATGGAGAGTAAGTACACTGACCTGGCTTTACAAGGCCTGACTTTGATTCCTTCTTATATCGAGCTGACTGGATGCTTCCCTCACCAACCATTCCAATCGTGCATTTCTTTCTGGTGAAGTCTTCATCACTTCCAGGACAAAAGCCAGTGGGGCTGTTCCCAGCATCTGAGGGCGTCTTCACAGGAGATACTGACTGGCTGCTAGGACATCCTGTGTCATCTAGAAGACAGAAATTGATAAGTGGTTAATGATGACGAGGAAATCAGTGATGGTACAGATAAGCCACGCAGCGTGCCATGCACGCACACACACGCACACATGCGCTCACACACCTACTCTGCTTATGAGGCCCCAGGTTAACTGCTGTGGATGACTTTCCTTTTATTTCTCTGTATTTTGGCCACTCATCTTACCCAAGAAAATACCAACTATGTTGAGAGAATATTTTAAGGCAAAACTTCACAAACTTTTTGATCACAAATATTTCTGTAATGTTCATCTTGTCAAAACTTAAAAGATATGTCTGTTTTAACAGTTCATGTAGTATAATTTTGGGTCATATCCATCCATAGATTTATGTATAATATTAGTAATAAAATGTTCACCAGAACAACTCAGGATCACTAATGTGACCTTTTCAGAGTTGTTTATGTTAGGAAAATAAACTTACTTGAATATTATTGACCACACCCAGTTTTTGATCAGTTGGCCTGCCAATCGGTTAATAGAGTTTGATAGATAAGACATTTGGCTTTAGGAGTTCAAGGAAGCAGAAGGAAGTGATCCAGTTTTATCATACACACTCAACCAAAAATACATCAATCAGGTATATTGCTGTCTGGAGTAAACTGGTAAATGAAAACTGATATTCAAAGTAGAAATGTTCCCTTAACTTTACAGTTACAGAATATTACAAGGGTCATTATTTCAAGTTAATATGCATGATATGAAGTGACCTGTGTAGACGCTTATTAAGCAAATGGGAAAGTCATACTGTTGACTTCTATAAATGCTTTCCATATTTATTAAAATATTTATTATGGATGGTTAGTTCATTTATACTTTGATGAGAAGAATTGTGTCTAAAGAATTGGAATGTAAAGTCAAATCAATATTACTTAAAAACGGTCTACTCAAACTGAACAGCTAGTAGTAAATTTTCATTACTAAGTAATTCTCTACTATATAGAAATATTTTGATGCCAGAGTCACTTTAGTAACTAATTAGACAAAAGAATGAATAAGACTTTTATTACTAATAACTTCTAGGACTTTAAGGGAACTAAAATAATTTGCCATCTATTAAGGGCTATCTTAAAACTCTATAGCTTGAATAAAGATAGAAACAGAAGTAGACCTGAATAAAATGACTGATTGTCTAAATTAAGATGACTAGTATCTGTGTAAAAAAGAATTGCCATTGCATCATTTTTGACCTTTATTTCATTTTTTATGATGAAATATCCCAGTTCCCGGAACAAAGAGAACTCGGCACTAATAAAACGATTTATTTCACTTGATATCCTTTTTTGACTTTTGGACATAGGACCTTCATGGTTCATTTCTGGAAGTGAATGTTTTTTAGTATACCCTTCACATATGCCGTCTTCACTTTTCTTTTTTTTTTTTTTTGATAGTCATAAGGTTTTTTTATTTTCACTATTTTTCTCCCTTTTTTATTATGAATATTCATGAGATGCAAAGCTAATCCATGCTGAATTCTTCCTGAACTCCTGAAGAAACCCTGGCCTTAATTACAGAGTGATGAGGACCACTCTTGGCTGCCACTGCTCAGCTAATTTCATCACTTACTGTCCCTGCCTTTCTCTCACATTTGCACGTCCCATGCTTCCAACCAAAGAAATCTGAGCTCCTCTCTAAAGGTGCAAAGCTGCTAATTACTTAGCCAGATTCCAGCAATTCCACAAGGCTCAACAGGTCTGCACATCGCCTCAGCAGAGTCTTTCTTTCTGGATTCCTATCCCAAAGCAGATAAACTCAAATAAATGAGGTCTACTCCTTCAAAATCAAATATTGCCTTTAAAATTATTTCCTTATGAGTAGGTTCCATAAATTACTTCTTTTGAAAGAGAGATGGCTCAAATAAATAAAGATGCATGCTTCAAAATGTCTACCCTAAAAAAGTCATTTTTCTTGAAAACTCTGACTCAAAGAGATAAAATTAAACAATTTCTAGTACAAAGAAACTGTATGGAGAAACACAGCCAAAATTATACTTTAAATAAATATAAAGCAAATGTGTTTTGTTTGGATCTATAACTATTTTGCTGGAGTCAGATGAGAAAGGATATGTGCACACCATGTTTTCAGTACTAGCAATTTCAAGGACTAGGTGCTAGCGTCTGGTTAAGACTTGGGAACTGAAATTATTTAGAGTGGTTGTGATATGGAAAGGTAGTAGCAATTTTTCACCTGGCATATGTGCCTCACATCAATATTTATATCTCTAGGGGCAAGGAATAAGAAAATAAACACCCAAATAAATCTTGAACTTTAGGTACCTCTTAGAGCATTTGAATCACTACCCAAACATCTCTTAACTGTGCACTATTGTGCTTCATATTGGGGGGGGAAAAATTGGAATGGTCTTTCATTGGTCAAAAGAATGTATATCAAGTCCTGGTACTGGATCAGCCCACAGGCATTGTACCCAGTACCTACGTTGATGGAGCTTATAAATAAGCCAAAAGGAGTTGGATGTACATCACCCACCATGCACAGTTCTTGTAAATTGTCAAGTCTGTTAAAATAAAACTATACCCAAGAAAATCAGTGAGTTATCAGAAAAGCCTGGAACATTGGCCTGTTTTGTTTAATGCAACCAACCAACACTAATAAAGGAATCTAGTTTGGAAAGGGCAGGACCATTCATTTTCCTATGACAGAGGGCACACTTTAAATTATGCAAAGTAAGACCCAGCAAAGTCCTAGAGCTTCATGTGCCAGAGTAATCTGGTCACCTGTGGCCCCTGAGGTATTTTCCTGTGTGTTGCACAGAAGAAGTGATCATCTTTCAACACGTTTTGTTTACACTCCTTCCCTGCTTTCCCACTCCCCTCTCTTTCTCTTCATGGCCTCATTAGAAGTTGACCACCAGTCTGGATGAAGATAACCCTCTTTTACAAAATACTATATAAAATATTCTTAGTTCACATTTGAGCTTCTAAGAATAGTGAAGCCAAGCTGATGTTCTTCAGTTGTTCATATCTAATCTTACTATCTGGTAAACTACATGTGAATCATGCACATATTAAAGAGAATTATTTATTAAACCTGCTTCAGTTAAGCTTCTTGAGTGTTGAGTGTGCCTTCTGTTTCCTGCCGCTACCCTGATGGCTAAATTTGCCCTATAGAATCTATATACTTATAAACATGATATTTATAATGCTAGCTTTTATAAGTTATGTTAATATAAAGAAATTATCAGTGACAACAATTTCTAATATGACACCATGAGAAAATTGCTTCTGGGTAGAAAATGGCACAAATCCTGAATGATCTACCTAAAAAATGTTGGATGTTTCAAATTTCCAGAAGAATGCCTGAGAAATGTAAGAACATTTCAGTCTGGTTTTGCCATAAAGGAAGCCTTGCTCCAAGGCTTTAGTTTCTGGGTAGAAAATGGCACAAATCCTGAATGATCTACCTAAAAAATGTTGGATGTTTCAAATTTCCAGAAGAATGCCTAAGAAATGTAAGAACATTTCAGTCTGGTTTTGCCATAAAGGAAGCCTTGCTCCAAGGCTTTAGAAAAAGGATGTAGAGGATCATTGGTCTATTGGAAAGAGAGTAATTTAAAACATGTTCATACATACAGACACACGGAGTTCTTCCATCGTTGAGCTTTTACATTTCGGTCTCTATTCTTTCTCTGTTATTCATGGAAGTATAACTTTAAAAAGAAACAGGACCACTTTACATGTTTTACACAGTGTGATCCATTTGAACATTTGGGATGATTTCCTTTTGGAGTCAACAATTTTAAATCCCACTTAGACAGTCCAGGACAGCCCCTGGAGGAACTCAGGTAAAAGTGACCTTCATCAAGGCCACATCTAAATGACCACCTGCTACAGTGAAGGAGACTAATTTACATTTCCTCATCAATTTATATTAAGAAATAGGTTCTTTTGTTGTTTTCTTGTTTATTTGCTTAGAATTTGTCAACACACAGAATTAAGGGTAATAGAATGAATTATTCACAGATCCAGGAACCTCTGGAAGTTGTGGCCTATCTAAAGTATTGTGAGAAATATACCTACTGAATAGTCTCCAAATTACTGTTAAGGAAAAAATAAGATTCTAAAGTCTACAAAGACAGATGGGAGAAACAGACAACTTATAATTTTGTAGCCTGGATGTTATTAAACAAATTAATTTTTAAATCTATTTTCCTCTCTCTTTACATTACAAGCTCTCTGAGAACATGAGATATAGTTAATTGTATGATTACCCACTTATAGTTCTGAAAAAACATGTGTTTAACTACCTTTAAAATAATTCGGATCTTATTTTAAATACACTAAAAATATCTTGCACAATTAAAGAAAATCTGTTGAGATTGTTAAAATTTTAACTTAATTTTTTTATTATAAAAAGTAATAATTATCTTCGTGGGAAATTTAGAGTGCAGAATAGTGTAAAGAAGTAAAGAAAAAAATAAAGGGATTATATTTTCCCATAACTGCATTACCCAGAAAAAAATTAACTACTTGGCACTTTTGTTAGTCTTTTTTATTTACTTTTTCAACGAATATGGTTTCTTGCTTGCTTGCTTTTTGGTTTATCAAAATTTCAACATATATTATAGACAGTTTCATTACTCTGTCATTGAAAATTTCTCCCTGGGATTTGTTAGGTTAGAAAGAAAAAAGATATTAAAGACTAACAGGAGCCAACACAAAGGGGCCACTGTATCTCCTAAGTATGTACAGTTATTATGTGTCAATTAAAAACTAAAAAAATGTTTAAAAACCTTCTGAATTTCCAAGAGAGAGTGAGAGACAGGGAGAAAGAAAGAGAGGAGGGGGGAGAGAGAGAGAGAGAATGAGAGAGAGAGAGAGAGAGAGAGAGAGAGAGAGAGAGAGAGAGGTTCCCTGTTATCCAGGAACCAATTATTTATATTGAAAATTGGCAATTAAAAGGAAAAAAAGAATTATCATATCTACTGAGTGTAAAAACTGTTTCTACTTATATAC